TTTGTTTTAAAGTCAAAACAAACTGTACCTTCAGTTCAGGCATGGTGACGATGAGCGTCATGGGGACTTTGATGTCGGGGTTGTTGGTGTAGTCCAGCGGCACTAAATGTGGCGCCAGCTCACGATATCGAGCGTGTAACCTGCAGCACGTTAGAGGAAAGTCAGCAGTTTACACGGGAGTCGAATACATTCACTTTAACAACACTTTATATTCAGGATCCCAAATTTCAGACTGATGAGAGAAAAGCAACGTTTCCATCAGTCAGTCAGTGATCAAAGCCTCACTAACAAAATGATGCAACCTTAAGATAAAAGCTGCTGGAACGAGGAAGGAGAATCGGAAACACGCCGACGCTGTCCGTCTGTAGCTGCAAAGTGTTTGTCTGAGCGACTCCAATCTGCTCATTTCCACCTCTAGAGTTTCAGTCTTGACCTTTATTTATCCCACCCAGGGACTGTTTCTTGAAGGTCACTCCCCCCATGCCATTTTCTTCTGATTGGTCAACTCGCAGAAGCCTGCTGAAGGGCAGCATCCAGTGTTTTTGAGCTATACTGGCACCAAATGATGGAATCAAAGCATTCAGAGCAATCTGAAGTTTGAGTGTTTGGCTCACAGGGATTTCCTTTAGATAAGTTTACTCATTATTTTTTTAAGCTGTGCAGGTTTAATGTGAAGGTCTAACTCTGGGTCATGTGACAGAAAATACAGGAACGGTGAATAAGCCTACGTTACAAGTCGTCTTAAAATAAGTTTTGAAGTTTGAAATCAGCTCAGTTAATCTCTCTTCAGTCTATTGAACAGTTTAACCTCGTACTATGAAAACAGGTGGAGCTGCAGGTCCTGGAGGTGCATAGGTGTGGGTGGAAACTTGGCACTAATTTTTTTCCCAGCATTTTTTGTTTCTTCACAACGTCATGACTACACGTTAGACGTTTTTAGCTCTGTTTAAAAAATGCAACCCAAATCCACTTTAAGCCCACTCTAAGTGTCACAATCTGGAGCTATAATGTGGTTTTTGTTTGGTACAATTCTTCCTGTAACCTTTTCTGAGCATTAGTAACATCCACTTTGATGTAGAGGAACAGAAATACCATCAGTGGATGTTTGATCTGTTTCTAATTACTTATTGGAGAAAACTTCAAAAAGTGCATTTTGAGTAAACTTTGAAGGATCACCGTGCAGGACAGGAAGTGTGTCCTTTTATGCTTCATTAAAATGAGTCAATCAGATATTAAAATATACTCCAAGCGCGCTGCGTTCAGTGTGAGTTTAGTAGATCCCAGTACAGTAAAGCCAATCATCAAAACCAGTGTGTAAAAACATCGCGCCTACAATACACAGCAGGAAAAATAGCCGAGCAGCAGTTGTTCCTCTCCCTCAGTGAGTGATGAAGGTGTCGATTCAAAAAGAAAAGAAGACCAGCAGACTTTCGCCGTGCGCCACACTCACCGCAGGATTTCCTTCCGGGTGAAGAAGGTGCAGTCCTGGGAACAAACAGAGAGACGAACAAAGTGAGTCAGAGCGGCCAGTCCTCGGGGAGGATCTGCTTTCACCATCAGTCAGTATCTTCACCACTACCACCACCATCATCATCATCATCCAGTGCAGCAGGATGCAGAGCCAATCAGCAGCAGGAGGCAGATCTGATGTGGTCTGCGTTCTGCTGAGCCATGACGGCAGACACCTCTCCACCTTTCACGCCTCTCTGAAGGACATCCAGCTGTCCGCCTCCATCCTGCCCCCCCTCACCTGATACGCCTCCAGCTGTTCCTCGGTGAAGGTTGTCTGCTTGTTGCCCATCCTGGCCGGCGGATCCTCCCATCACACAGCTGCATCACACTCTGAGCTGGCTTTGCATCCGGCAGCAGGTCTGCGCACCGCCGGGACATCCACTCTCCTGATCCGGGTCTCAGTCTGCGAGCCTGCTGCTGCTGCTGCTGCTGGTCCCAACGCGGAGGAAAACAGGATTGTGACGCCTCAGAGGACAGGAGGAGGAGGTGCAGGCATCACAGTGCTGCTTTCAGCTGCTGCTTGGAAACCCATGAACTGTAAATGCAGGAAGAAATTCTTGAATTACATCATTAGATTAATCTGTTAGATGACTTTATGATAATTTGTTTGTTTATTTTTTTTTGTTTTGTTTCTTTTTATGTTAAATAAATTACTTTTTGTAACTTTACATCCATCTTTCTTTATTTCAACCACACATTTCTTCGATTTGTTTTCCAGCTTGGGTTCAATCAGCGTAAAAGTTGTAAAATCCATTTTCTTTTTCAACTGATTTTTCATGTATTGTTTGTTTCTTTTCCTTTTATAATAATAAAGTTATACTAAAATAAATACAGATATTTATGTTTGCAGATTTTCTTTCTCATTTCAGATATCCTTCCCACCATTCAGACACAGGATATTGGCGTGTGTCACGTCATCGTCAACTGTTTGTCTTGATTGAAAGCTCTGATCCCGTGAAGATGAATGTTAGACTGGCTGTTCTGTGCCATCGGATCCCAGACATCATTTGAACACTAAGCCACAGCTCTAGAGCTTAGAGCCACAGGTTCTAAGCTCACAGTAAACAAAGTAAAGTCAATAACAAGAGTGCACGCACACAAGTCTGAGTGTTTTTTTACATGCAGGTCTAGAGATTAAAGCTCTGACAGTGGACATCAAGTGTTGGGTAGATGCATTGGTGGTGGTTGTTTCTCAAAATATAAACCTCAGAATCAAAAAACTACTCAGACACCAGGGGGTAAGTAATGTACACAGGTGTATTTTTCAAATGACATAAATCGAATTCTCTTGTTTCACACAAACATACATTTTGTCCAATAAACAAGTAAAGAAATAAAACTAAGTGAGCAACAAAAAAAGATATAATAAATAGACATGGCAACCACTAAAAAACAGCCTAATTACAGCAAATAAAAAAACAAAAAAGAATTGAACAAACTTTTAATATGTTCTAATCACGGTGATGACTGGAGAGTAGCGCCTTTTTTGCCTTGTTTGTGCAGTTTCGGATCTTCCTAACTGCTCCTGAAGGCAGCACTAATTCTGATGGTGGTGCAGCGTCCAGCAGGTGGCGCCAAAAATGCCTGTGGCGTCAATGACTCGTACAGCTACAAAGATCTCTCGGGGTGAGTCATTTTGCTCGCACGGGATCTTTGTCCAGGTTGGTTTTCGGCAGCAGCTCGGAGTGAGTCATCTCTTTCACAGACGATCTCGGAGAGCTCTTCCTGGGCAGAATGGCAGGCAACGCGTGGAGGTCACTGGTAAGAAGCACCGTGATTATTCCCGGTTTTAAACCACCAAACCTCTGTGTGTTACAGATGAACGGGGCTGTGTGTGTGTGTGTGCTGAAGCCTGTGTTTGTCACTTTGTCTGTCTTTACGCGCTCTCCGCGTGTTTTTCGGGCTGATGTACCTTGGTTAGCCCTTAGCCAGGAACCCACGTCCTTCACCTCAACGGAAGCTTCTGGAGCTGACGGAGACGTTTACCCTCGTCTCACCTGTCTAATACAACTTTGACTTTCTTCACATGTTCCCCTCCGCCAACCTCAATCTGGTTACCTTGACAATACGTCGACCTGTCCAGCTCTTTCTGCTCTTTAGTTCTCTGTGATCCCTAAATCCATACTAGAGTCACGGAGAAACCAACGTCAGCCTCCGTTTAAATTTGCACGAATTTAAGCTCAGTTTAGAGTTTAGATGGAATCATTAGATCGTAGAAGTTAGTTGAAAACATTTCACGAAAAGTGGATATCCTCTGATAACTTCGGCATACACGAAATTCAACATGTAGCTAGTTCTTGGTAGAGTCAAACTAGGTGTGGCTGCTAAGAAATGGTTGCTTTAACTAATGTGGAGACGAACACCAGACTCCCTTTTTAAATAAAGCAATTTACCTTAAACTCGTACTGTGATTAAATTCCAGGTCCCGTTTTAACTGACGGAAAAGATGTCAAATAATGTGAGGCTCCTGAGATAAACTCGGCATTGAAAAAAGTCACCGTAATGTAATTGGCAGTAACAAATGTGAGAGATATACTACATTATCCAAAAATAAGCAACATCAGCATACAAAGGAACTACAAAACAGAACAGCGGAAGTGGTGGTAATAATTTTCTCCCTTCTTGTAATTTGTTACTGATGCTTGAAATTAGCCCTAGAACTTAAAGTTTGTACATATAAGCTCCTCAGGTCATTTTTAAATGTTATAATATGAATTATTAGGAGTGTTTCAAGCCTCAGCAGCAAATAATCAAAGTGATTCTTTGCAGTTTTGTTTTGCACATCAACAGCAAGTGTTTTCAAACAGCTGAACACAGACTAACCATCACGATCAGGTTGTTTTTGAGCTGCTTTGGTGTGTTTTATGTTGAGTTGACCTTTACGTCGTCTCTTCCAGCTGACCCAGGCAGTGGGGGTGGCGGTCAGAAAACCAGCTCTGGCTTCAGCCTCCTTTTCAAGAGGGGTGAGTAGCTCCACCTCTGCCTTCCTGGGATGCAATCAAATAGATGCTTTTCGCTTCACAACTCCCAGAAAATCCATTTATAAATAACAGGAAATGTTTAACATGAAAGCAGAGACCTTGATCTCGGCTGGACTGTGATCTGCTCCAGCTGTCTGAGTTGTGTCTCTCTGTCTCTGCAGGTGAAGACAGTCACCATGATTCCCGGTGATGGAATCGGTCCAGAGATCTCCGCTGCTGTCATGAAGATCTTTGAAGCAGCAAAGGCAAGTTTGATCAGACTTTAGAGGCCAAATCTGGAAAATGATCTCACCTGAGTCCTCTCAGAGTCAGCGCATTTTTGGAACAGTAACTTTAACATATTTAATAAAGCCATGAAAAAATGTACTTTAATGCTGTGGGTATTTTCTGAGTTATAAGCACCTCGAAGTACATGGAAGATAGCTGGTGCGTTCTAATTTGCCTTGTTTTTTCCACCATTTTTTATCTTTCGTAACTTTTTTTGTTTTTTGTCTTCTTTGGTTGTTCCCCATACTCTTTTTTTTTTTTTTTTTTTGTGTAGTTGATGATCATATTATGGAGCCCTTCTTGGGCTGCTTGCTGGTTTTTTTTGTTCTTTTTTGTCGCTGTTGTGTGTTGTGCTTGTTGTGGTTGTTGTATTGTTGCTGTGGTGGAGCGCCGTTGGGTGGGGTATTTTGTTTTGTTTTTTGTTTGTTTTGTTTTCTGCCCTTTTCATTTGATGTGATCTTTTCTTTTCTTGTTATGTTAGCTCAACGTGCTGGAAAGAAATAAATACAAAGCACTACTGGCTATTCTAAGAGGGTCAGGTGGGAGGCACTGATTGGTTTTGGATCAGTTTCTAAATAAAATTTTCCTCTGAAGGCTCCAATCACGTGGGAGGAGAGGAACGTGACGGCGATAAAGGGACCTGGCGGCAGATGGATGATCCCTCCTGACGCCAAAGAGTCCATGGACCGGAGCAAGATCGGTCTGAAAGGTCTGCATGTGTCCGTTACCTTTAGACAGATTTCCTGGAAGATTCCTGCTCGTCGGTGTTTTTTGTTTTTTACATTTTTTTTTTCTCCATCAGGACCCCTGAAGACACCCATCGCTGCAGGTCACCCCTCCATGAACCTGCTGCTCAGGAAGACCTTTGACCTTTACGCAAACGTGAGGCCCTGTGTCTCCATCGAGGGCTACAAGACTCCGTACACCGATGTCGACCTGGTCACCATCCGGGAGAACACGGAGGGCGAGTACAGCGGCATCGAACACATGGTGAGTGAACGGAGGCCGAGTGTGCGACAGCTCCGAGCTGAGAGGGTTACAGCGGGCTGTCCTGAGTAATCCTGACGGGTGTGTGAAAGCAGCCGTCACAGGCGATGCACAGAGTTCTGCTTAATTTTCTGACACCGTATGTGAAACGTTTGGTAGTGCGTTTGTTTAAAGTGCTTCATTTTGTTCTGTTTTTATTTGTGGACTGTGCCAGAGCAGCTTTGCATGATTCACATTTCAAAATAAGCCTCACTTATTCTACACATTGGGCCTTGCTGCTGCTGTGGCTCATGAAACAAGCTGTTTTAGCTCCTCCCCTTGTAAATCAGCTTCCTTCTGATTGGTTGCCCCTCAAAAACAGTGTTTGAACAACAGGTGGGTGGGGCTTCTTTGCCTCAGATAACCATATTAGGGATTTCCTCTGTTGTTGACATCATTCAGAGCCAGGAGTAGAAAAAACTGTGAGGTCTTTTGGATCACGGGGGTTACTGTAGGTACACTGAGCTCATTATTAGAAGCTTTGGCTGTTTTTAAGGTGAACATCCACCACTGTTCACCAACAGCTAGCAAGTTTACACTTATTAAGGCTGTGCACCCTGCCAAGGTTATCCACACCTGTTCATTTAGGAGCTGCATGGCATCCTTTTGTCCTTCAGCCTGTCAGGAGTTTTTTTCTGCATTCAAACAAAAATAATCACCAATGAGCAAACGTGTGCAGGAATCTGTCACAGTGACTGTTGTCCAGTTCTTTAGCGTGTGAGTCAGGATGCTGCTGGAAGCTGTTAGCAGGTGTTGTTATCTGTGTTGACTGGTTGGTCTACCTGCCTCCTCACCTGTTCCCTGCAGGTCAGCTAGCAGCTGCAGGCAGGACGCTCTGCTCCTGTTCGTCTCCTGGTAAGAAGGAGGAAGCGGCGCCAGAGTCGTATTCACAGAGCACCTCGTTCCACCTCTGATAGATTCACTTTCATCCCAAAGACACAAACTAAGGACCTGAGACTGTTTCACATTCTGCACACTGTGCTGCAGACATGATGAGCATGCTAACCGTCATCCTGCACTGAGCAGCTCCCTCATCAGACTGTGGATCCAGGTCTTTAATTCTCTGGACTCCTGATTGGACAGTTAGTTTCTCATGCTGATTAGATCCTTTGATATTTGTTATTAACTCAAGTTTAAAGCACGATCC